AAAGAAACTGTAATCTTAGACAGGACACTAACATGACATCGTCGTTCTCTAATTTCCTCAAAATTTCCTCAAATTATCAGTTTATTCAAGGTCTTTAGGCTCAGACCGAGAATTTTATGTATGGCCAAAATCCATCAGCCACAGCGAGTAACCGCGTAACATTCATTAACTGTCGACAGACAGCTAGTGGTATACGTTAGGCTAATGTGGTACCGTACTAACAGCACAGGTACTAGCCAAAAGCCCATACACGCGTGGTTCGCCGTTTTTTGGTAGATACTCCAATTTAGAAATTGTCGCTTTTTAATTTCCTCAGAAATTAAAAAGCGACAATTTCTAAATTAGAGTATCTACCAGAGCACACACGGGGAATGCTGGGGGACACACTGACCAACCAAACCCTTCGCAACTGCGTCATGAAACGGCAGAATATCGAGGAAACCCGCCTGTATGGGCTTTTGGCTATTACCTGTGCTGTTAGTATGGTATCACCTTTCCCTAAAGTAACATGGCATCGCCTATAAGGTACGACGCCTCCGCTTTTAAGCAGTATCTTGCCTGACAAACCATGTTCAGTTTACATTTTTCACAATGAACTGCACCGCCTAACGTTTAAAAAAATAGCCATATTCTCAGTGAACAGTGGGTTTCTCTTGGACTGACTGTCTAGGAAACGTTGGGCAGGGCAGGCGGCCAAATGTTTTCTGGTAACTGTCCCCTGAACGGCCTGGGCCCGTGTGCAGACAAGGGGAAATAAAATGATGCATTTTCTGATGGTAGTATCCGAAGAAGCCTCTACCGAAAGAAAACCTGGTCTGGACAATACAAGAACTTCGCTAGTTTCGTACCTCTTCAACAAAAACGAAATCTATTCAGGGCTAGAAGAATTTGTTCAACAGATAGTAGCGAGAAGAAACTTGGAAAAATCCAGAATTTTCTTCGCGAAAACGGATATCCTGACAAGTTCATTGCAAAGAACCTTGCCGAACGACCTGCAAAACCCACCACACTGACCGCCGAAGAGAAAATGTTGTTCCGCAAAGTCTCTTTCCAAGAAGACGCTGCAAGTAAACTCCTAAGAAGACGCCTTGACTAAGCCGTCTCGGGAACCTTGGCAGCAGCAAGGGTGCACATATAATTCTCTACTAACCCTATTTTACGCGAAGAAGGCAAGGAAAGGCTGCCAGCTCAGACCACCTCAGTGTGCATCTACTCATTCACTTGCTATTGTGGAGCCGGTTATATTGGTCGTACGAGTCGACGCCTTTCCAGAAGAATACGAGAGCACCTTCTTGAATGGCTGGCAAAAGGTGAAACTTGTAGGATAGACAGGACCATCCTTGCGCATGCAGTGGATTCGGGGCATCGTGTGGACACCGCTGAGGCATTTCGTGTGATTTATAAGGTCCCCTCGAGCTACCCTAAACTACTGGCCCAGCGCCTGTTGGCAACAGCAGAAGCGGCCGCCATCAGGTTACGAAAACCGACCCTATGCGTCCAGGAGAACCTCGTTCAGGCTCCGCACTTACCGTAGTCGAAGGTTGCCTAACCACATACAGCTTTCTGCGCCCTTCCGCTCTTGCCTAGCCTGTATTTTGAAAACTAACTTTTATCGATTTTTTTCACTCACTGTACCCCGTCCCCTATAACTCTACTGCCCTGACGAGAAGTTATCGAAATCAACGTTCGCTCGCCACATTTTCTTTTAAATTCATAATAGTAGGGAAGTGAAATGAACCCCAGCCAAGTGAGATCCCTTATTTTCTACAGCCTGTATTGGTAAAACAGTGGACCTGTAGATTGCAGCAACCCTTATTCGTGTAAACGACGCTTTTGTTCGGTAGGATGTTGTATGACATAAATACGCATACCTTATGACCTTTCAGAATGAAGCGCGTGTTTAAGTTTGAAATTTCTTTCTTTTGGTCATATGGGCCAGTCGCAACTCAAAGAAAAGGAGATTTACTTTCTCTCTCTCCCCATATATCTAGCTTCACTGAACGTTTCACGGGCAAGGATATGGTTTATGGCAGGGGTTACTTACTCCAGGGAGCCAATTGTGTTAAAAGAAAATAACTGGCGATCTTTATTTGTACGTGTCAGAAAAAGAAATAAAGGAACTTATCGGTATCTGTTTTGTGAGGGTGGTCGGTACGCTTTAAGGTAGTCATCGGAGTAAAAATACGTCAATACAATATAATTTGGACAATGCCTGCAACGGAGCATTAAATTCACTTGCTGCTATCATAAAATAGTAAAATAGCACCCTTTTTAACTATTGACAACATGGGAGATCATAATTTGTGGTACCACAAATTTCTTTGATGTTCTGCTCTTTTGCTCAACGAAAATGCTTCCCAGTGTAAGCAACCTCGGCCATAAACCATAGCCCTGTCGTTTCACAATTTATTTCTTGACTCAACCGACATATGTGCTATACAGACAGTTCATCATCTCTATTTGGCCAATAGGTTTTCGTCTTTTGATGATTGTTGATCAAACAATACTCCTACACTAAGGTGGAACACTCTGAATTGCTCTTAGAAGTGCCTGAGCGTTCTTTAAATATGTTGACGACCTAATAATTAGTTGTCAGGTCAGAACTACAAGCACGACGTATAGGCGTTCTCCACCTGGCTAACTAGGCTTGAAAATAAACCTATCAGCATCAAGATGATTACTCGAAACCTCAACGGATAAAAATAGGACTTACTGGCAACTTGTTGTGTTGGTCGTGCCAGGTACACGATGAGAACCAG